CCGTGAGCGCCCCGCTGGGCCGAGCGAGGAGCGGGCGGCGCGCCGCGCCCCAGCCCTGCCTCAGCTCCGGCTCGCATGGCGCGTTTAGTGAGATGCAGGAGGAACACTCTTTCTCTCCGCCTCGGGCCCTCCCGCTCTCCTTCCCTTCTCTCCTGCCGAGAGAGGAACCTCGGCTCCTCCTAAGTCTGCCGGGCCTCCTACCATCCGCCCACCCGGGCGCGGGACCACCGACCACGGGGTGAGGGTAAACTGGCCCACGCGCCCCTGGTGCCCGAGGTACCTCTGTGTCCTGTCTGGTAACTCGCTCTCACTGGCTCTAGCTAACCTCTCTCCCTTCTGCCTCCTCTCTTCTGCTAACCTGCTTGCTGACCTGTACAGACCAACTCTACCAGCAACTTGAGCAAAACCGCCGCCTCACTAACCAACTAAAGCTGGCCCTGAATGAGGACTAAACTTAAGTGGGAGAGGACTGGGGCTGAATTCTAGGAATGGAGCCCACGGGCAGGAGTTCTAACTGTCGAACTTAGAGGATTGAAAACAGTAGCTTTCTGCAGAATTGAACATGAAAGGAATCAGTTGAAAGGCTGGCCTTGCCTGCGTTTTCCTCTTATATCTGGAATAATTAAGTTCTCTTTAATCCCAAAATGACTTTTATGGGAAAATGACACATATGTATATGGATAAATGTTTATACTCAATTCAGCACTTGTCTTTGCCGTAGCAGGTCCTCTTGTTTGAACTGATGCATAATGAGGACCAAGATACTGTTTTCTATTTCCTACAGAGAACTGAGTCCTGCTTTAAGTTAGAAAGCCAAAGCAGAGGGGTGTGTATGTGTACAACCATATATATATTATATATAGGGCGTGATGTATATAATACATATTCATATTGCATATTCATATTCCTAACTTCTGAGTATCTGGTATAGTGTTTGAAATACGATTAAATGTACCTGTGCTTGGGCAAAATAGCTTTTGAAAACAGGAGTTCTTGTCAGAAGTCCCTGATTGTCTGAAAGGTATGCTTGTATCCAGTCTCATGGCGCTGTTGGAATCTGGTGAGGATGTCGTGCTAATTTAAACTAGAGCACTGTGAGAATAATCAGAGAATGTCCTCCTGAAGTGTGCATGAAACGTGTTGATAATGTTTTTTATGAGCAACAGAAATAAATCATTTACAACGTTGTCAGAAAACCTATTTACGTACGTCATCTTTGTTTTCTGTGAGATTGTGTTTCAGCAACACAACTCCCAAACCTTTAACTGCCCGTTAACTCAGAAATGCCTGCTGTTATTAACGTCAGCGCCACGGGCTCCTCCCCCTGTCCCCGCAGCGCGGGACTGGCGAGCCTGCACCACACCCCACCTGCGTTTCGTCCTCACGGTGGCTTGTTGGTGAAGGTCCGCCTGGCCGCTCTGTGAGAACCCGCTGTGTCTGTAGTTCCTTCGGGTCCAAGACGGCCTCCCCTTCGTAGGTCCTTGTCTGGGAATGAGTCATGTCTTACAAGCATGCCAAGTCCTAATCATCTCATCCTGTGTTTGTGATTGATGTTTGCCTGCCTGAATGTACGAGCTACCACTGTGTCCAAAGTGCAGCTATTCATGACTTAATTTTCTAATCCCACCACAGAGAAAGTGGCTCATGCCAAAGAAGAAAACCTTAGTATGCATCAGATGCTGGATCAGACTTTACTGGAGTTAAACAACATGTGAAAACCTCCTTAGCCGCGACCACATTCTTTCATGTCTTTGTTGTTTTTTTGTTTTGTTTTGTTTTTAAACACCATGCTTACCATGAAACCCCTTCAATGCATTTTTATTTACTTTTACCACTGTCACAGAAACAGCCACAAAATACCAGCTAGATCGGGGGTGGGGAAAACACACACACACACACAGGAGAGCCTGTGTCAAGGCGATGATGATTTCAATGTGCCATGTCCCAGGTCGACGTTTTGCCACACTTGGTAGAGAGTTTAGCAACACTGTGTGCTTAGTCAGTCCAGGAATCCTCACTAAAGCAGAAAGATTGCCCCTCGAAGTGCCAATGATGTTTGAGCAGGACAGTGAATGTTGGAAACACAGTCAGGTGTGGATTGGTGCTACTTGAAACAAAAGGTCCCCCTGTGGTCTTTCGTTCAATATTGTACAACTTAGAATCCTGTCCAACACTAATTTATTTTGTCTTGAGCTTTACTATGAGGTGAGACTGTGGATCCTGTCTGCCAGAATTCGCTGAAGCCATGGGTGTGTAAGCCACGATGCCCCTCTGAGGCTTCTGTTCCCTTCTCATTGGCACGTTTGCAGCTCGTTACAGCTCGTAGGTTAGCATGTGATGTGGATTTCCACCATGTTAAACTGAAAGACTTAGGCGCTACATACGATTGGTAAAGAAAAAACCCTTTTCTTTAAGAGTTATAACTGTATGTAAACCTTGTATAATGATATGGAATAAAATGCACATTGTAGGACATTTTCTAAATGTGGTGGTCCTGTCGTTTGTATGTTTTTTCTTTGTGAACTTGAGATCATGTGATCAGCCTCCTTCCCTTACGCGTGTTTCTTAGAGCAACGTCGTACCCAGGGGTCTGGGGGGAACGGTCTTGTGTGTTCTCCTCCCAGAAGCACTCAAGGCAGCAGCCCTGTAGTCTGTGAAAGTTACAACCAAGCAGGAAGGGACCCATTCCAAGTCCAGGCCTTTCTCCAGGCTACAGGTTATATCTGCACATATCTGCACCAGTGGCTCTACTGGTTTGGGGATATTTTCCTCAATTCTTAGTGAAGTCTTTGGCAGTGGCAGTCACACACATCAACAAATTGTGAGTTAACGCGCTGAATCTGCTGTCTCCCAGCAGTGTGAGTCTCCTTAAAAGTGGAAAGAGTCTTGGTGTCTGCATTCTAACTCGTGCTGAGTACTAAATTCCAATACATCTTCTTTTTCTTGGACTTGGAAACTGAAAATATCACAAGTCACTCTTCAAGACTTTAAGCAAGCACAGACAGATTGCAGACTCTATTAGTTGGCTAAACCTGTGCTGCGAGGGGAAAAGGACATCTCCACGAAAAGCGAACACAGTAAAATGGAAATACACAGGTTCACTTGGATGCACAGATAATATTTTCATTGGAAAAGTGTTCATCATCCCTGTAGCTGTTCTCCACGCTCTTTGATCGGGAATTTTCTCCCTGTAAACCCAAATAAAAGCCTGGCAGCCAGGCTTCCAGTTCCCACCTCCAAAAATCTGTCCCTTTGTTCGAGACAAATAACAGCTCTGAGTCTCAGCCTTCCCGCCTCTTCACCTGGGCTCGCCCCTGCCCACCCTCCGCTAGCCAGAATGTCTCCTGCCTCAGATCGTAAGAGGTTTTCCTACACTGGGCAGTTTTTCACTTTGGGAGCCAGATCTGGCTTCACCTTCCGTAGCTTGTCTCCCTAAATCTGAGATTCTCCGTCCCTGAAATGGGCACATCGCTTGCAGGGTGCTGTCGTGGGACTCGAGTGTGGCGCAGGTGATGATGTGCAGAGCACCTCAGGCATGCTTGCGACACTGCCTGCGGCTGTCCTCCCTCCCTCGCCGCCAGCGCTGCAGGGACCACCGCGGAGGGCGTTTAACAACCAGCCCGGGAAGCTGGGACAACACTAGCCTGCCCCACATGGCGATGCTGGTTATCAGCACTGTTCTCAGGTACCCTGTGCCAGAACCCATCATAAGCACCTTACGAGTGTTATTTCAGTTTCATCTCCGTCCCGTTTTACTCACTACAGGAACAGGCTCAGGGAGGCTGAGCAAACGTGCTCACAGGGCCAGAGCTCACAAGTAGTGGGGAGGGCGTCAGACTCGGGCCTGTGGACTCCAAAGCCCTGTTTGGATTCTTCTGCTTGTTTCAGATGTTTTACAGCAGAAGGAGTGCCTAGACACAGGTGGAAACAGGTGGGGCAGCAGGTACAGTGGGGAGAGGGCGAGGCTGGGAGGATGGAGGAGGGCTGGCACGACCATGAGTGAGCGGTGTAAGGCCTGACTTCCTCCCTGGCTTCCCGGCATCAGGTGAAATCAATGAATTACTGCAGATTCATGCCAATTCGAAGAATTATTACTCCCTGATCTTTCTGATAATTACAAAAGCGAGAACGCCCTGTCCCCAAGGGGCACACCCCTTGCGCCCTCTCAACGTGCTGCTCTGTGAGATCGGGGAAGAGTGCTTGAGGCACAGCCCTCCGGTGTGTAAACGCCGAGGCTGGACGCTGATGTCACCACTCAGAGAACTGTACAGAGAAAAAATTCAAGATTCGTACTCAATTCCATTGCCGAGACTTGGCAGGCCCGGATTTCCTAGTGAACAGCTGGGAAAGTTGCCTTGTTCAGAGTAAAACACTGGGACTCCACAGAGAAAGAATACAGGGTAATAATGTAAACATCTTCCAGGAGTATTTAAATTTGTGATCAGAGATCTATGATGTCCTATTAAGGAGGAAAAAACAGCGCTTTGTGGATACTTTGTGAACTCTCTGAGGCTGGCGTTGAAGAGGACCGCCGTTCACTGCTCCTAGAGAACCATCAGCAGAAACGAACCCTAATTTTTGTGTATGCTGTTGTGTATCCTCCAGAGTTTAATACTGTGGGCTTGATTTTTTTTTTCTCCAGGAGAAAAAAAATGTATTTTTTTACTTGAACAAATATTTGAGTCTATGTTAACTATTTTCACCTGATGACCACGATTTGTATATGTGATTTAAAAAAAAAAAACTGTAGTCAGATTTACATACAGAAAAAAAAAATGTGAATTCACCAATCAAAACAGAACCCTGGGGTGCTCAGGGAGCCATCATTTCCAGGAAGGCAGGCAGAGGTTTGGAGAGAAACGAGAAATGGCGGCAGTGCGGGAAGCGTTCCTTCCGTTATATACACGTTTTGACATTGAGGGTTTTCAGAGCCACATTCCTCCGACAGATGTCGTAAATTTTGTGTCAAACAGTGAATG